GCCCAAGCTGGGTAGGAGGCAACTTCCCATGTCTCAGCATTTTTAAAGCAGGATCTAGCCAGCCTCTGGTTGTAGAGTCGATTTAAGTGTCAACTAGGGAAGACAGTGGACATGAAGGTTTATAAGTCCCCTGTAAATCTGCTACTTTGATTCTGAATATTGACCATCCCAAATCCTAGCTATTTAAGTCATCTTCCCATGAACCCAATATTGATCAAAATATTGTCTCAGATCTCTTACTATGGTCCCACTCTCAGACCCCAATGATACAGTGATGTGCCACCATCACTTACCAGTCACGGAACATGTTGGCCTCTTTTTCCTGTCTCAGATATATGGTTAGACAGTGGCAGGGTCCAAGCACCTCTCCTTCTGTTCATCAAGCCTCATCCCCATGGGAAGAGTCCCCAGAGTCATCTTGAGTGCTTCAGGTCATGACGGCCACAGGCACAGGAGTGACCCCAGCTGCAGAGGCTGGTGAATCAGGATGGGATCCCAGGGGGACACTGGAAAGAGGCCAGTGTGCCTCAGAGAAGTCTTGCCCATTGCTTGCTACCTCACCTCCCATCTTCCACACCACCTCTGTAACTTCTACACAAATACTCTTTGTCTTTGACTCTGAGAGATGACCCTACTCCCCTATCACAAGACCCATAAACACATGCACTCTGACAGTTCCCTGTCTTAGCTCTAGCCCATAAAGACTTATATTGCATCAACTCTTCAACCAATTACTTTTCCCAGTGTTGTGCTTGCTGATCTAGTCCCACAATGTTCTTCTCTTGAGAAGCTTCTCAGTAGGAGCTACATGTTTAAGGGCTGGGTTGAAGGCTCCTTGAGAAAACTTGGGGAAGAATGTAATGAAGAAGTTCTTGTTCTGAGTTGGATCCTGCCTGTTACTAGTAACCAATCTGTAATTGAGTATTTTAACAAATCTTACCTAGAAGGAACATTAAATTTGTTTTTGATAAGAAGTAGCAGTCACCTATTAGCTATAATAGATGCCTTACCATGCGATTTCTAGATTGGTCTCATTTTCATGTGCACTCATATATGATTATTAAGTGGTCAGTGACCAGGTTGATGTGGGTTTTCTATGAGAGCCATGGCTAGCTTTGAATGTCTCTTTCTGAGATAAAATACAATGAGCAGAATGTAAGTGTATACTGGATAGACGACCCATATATTTTCTTTCCTTCTAAGCCACTACACCTCTTTCCTTTTCTATGTTTCCAACATTGTTATAATTTTCCTACAGAGGAGTAATTACATTACAAAGACGTCCCAATAAAGGTTCAACTGTGAAATTCAGTTTTCATGAACAAAAATTCATCCACTCCTGCTGACTTTTACCAGTTAATTCTAAAACTACCTTCTGGATCCAACACAACCCCAAGCCCCATGAGTTTGGGGTAACTATTCTGCCTCCAAGATCTTTCCTTCCATTGAAGAATCTTCCTCTTACCCTCAATACACTGGTCAACCTTTCTCAGGCTGGCTTCACTTTGACTCACACCCTGAAAGAGCAACAAGGCTATGGAGAAATCATCATAATTCCCTAAGTTTTTATATCATAGTTCCCTCTCTCAGGAACACTCTAAAACAAATTCCCTTTTGCACATGTCTATCCTGGACCGCCAGCAAGAGAACACCTCGTTCATCTTTTAGAGATCTTTGTCCACTTAACGAATTTAATACTCTTTTTAAATATCAACAAATAGAACGTCAGCTGAGAAGCAGAAATCCTTTATAACGTGGTGACATTTCCTTTTAGTAAAAATGATACCACTCATATTTTGAAGCTTGTTTATTCATCTGGAGAGCCTAAGTGCATCTATACTAAACAACTCTTTGTAATTTTTTATGTGTGACGACAAAAAGAGCAAAACTTTCGACCCCCAAAATATGCTTCTTTAGCATAAGGTCTATTTTAGGCTGACATATTTAAGAAGGAAAAACATAGGAGAAGTTCTGAAAACCAGGCAACTATAGGAGACATTTAAATTTCTAAGGATATCTCCTCTCTGTACCAGGAAGAAAAGGATAACACAATCCCAGCAATTCCTACTCAAGGGAAAGGCACCAACAGACATATCCTTTGCTTTTCCTGATAATTTTTCACAATTACTAGAAGTAACTCATATGTTTCTCAGCTAGCGGTTTGCTAAAGAAATCCTGTTAATCCATACAACTGAATACTACTCAACAATAAGAAGGAATAAACCACTGATGCAAGCAAAAACACAGCGGAGCTCCAAATGCCTTGTGTTAAGGAAAGACGCCAGATTCATTAATTCCATTGACAGCAATATTTAGAGTATACTTTTTATGTTTTCTGGAAAAGGCGAACATAGGAAGAAATGGTTGCCAGGGGCTACGATTTTGGTTAAGGTCTTCTACAGAGGTATTTGGAGGTGGTAGAATGATCCTCTTTCATGTGTGTAGTAGTGGATAACCACCCTACGTATTTGTCAAAATTCATAGAGGTTTGCAATAAAAAAGTGATTTTTTCTGCATGCATGTATGTATATATCTTAATTTGAAAAAGGAAAAACAACAAGGCAAAAAATTTAAGGCATACTACTAAATACTCCCTAAGTCCTTATTTTCTTTTGCCCCTTTGCCTTTGCTAGTGTTTCTTAAAAGTTAAATTTTTATTACAAGTAAATTTTTAATAAACATTTCTACTAACTACATATAATTAATTTAATTCAACATTGTACTTACTAAATATTTTTTATTTTTTTTATAATATAATAGTTTATTTTTACATCATTTTGTTCTTTTTTTTTCTATCTCATCTCAATTGTAATCCCCGTGGGTTTCCCATCACCAAGTCACCCATGTGCCAGCACTTACTAAATTTTAACCTCTGTCAGGAAGCTTCTATCAATTCCTGCCTGGGCCCTGCTGGTAACACTGGGGTTAAAATCTGAGTGTTAACAACCTATCACTAGCTATTGCAGCATGATTTCAAGCCCTGGCCAGGGAGCCAACCCACATGGTGCAGAAGACCTCTGTCGCTGCTCCCCTCAGTATATTTCAGTAGATCCACCTGTTCTGGTTCCCACACTGTCTCTGGTGAATCCTCTTACACCCCACACCTCTTGCCTACTCACCAGTTCTTGTAGGCATAAATAAATAAATATAAATCTTCAAAAGAAAAAACAAAACAAAACAAAATCCCTGCCTCTTTCTTGTAACTTCCTTAACTAGTAATATCTTGGCTGAAATTTGGATCAGGTAAAAAGAAAAAAAAATGGAAAGAATAAAGGTGTAGGAAATAGAAGAAACACACTCAGAAGCAAAATGTTTGTGGAGATAAAATCTGTTGTGTGGATGGTGATGGGAAGACTCTTCAAGGTCAGGACAGAGGCACACAGAAATTTTATGAACTAGTCCCATAAGGACCTTAGGAGAAAGTCAATGGTGAGTGGGACTAGTTTTGTCCCCTTTGCAGAAGATGGTCTTCTTGATGGCCCTAATGAGTTCCTTGTTACGAAGACTGTAGATGATGGGGTTGGCCAGGGGTGTGACTACAGAGTAGACCACAGCAAATGTCCTGTCAAGGGTGGGTGAGTAGCTCTTCTTTAGCCGTACATACATGAAGATGATGCTCCCGAAGAAGAGGAAGACCACAATGAGATGGGAGGCACAAGTGGAGAAGGCCTTCTTCCTCCCTGCTGTTGACTTTATCTTAAAGACAGCCACAATAATTCTTCCATAAGAAAACATAATAAAGAGGAAGGAGATAACGATGATGAAGGAATTGATAGCAAAGTTGACCAAGACATTAATGGATGTGTCTTTGCAAGCCAGGCCAAGCAGAGGTGGGAAGTCACAGAAGATGTGTGGAATTTTATTGTTGCCACAGAAGGGGAGCTGGGAGACCAGGCTGATTTCAGTAATGGGACACAGGAAGCCTGTAGTCCAACAGCAAGCGGCCATCTTGAAACAGAGTGTTGGGGTCATAATGGCAGGGTAGTGGAGGGGCTGGCAGATGGCCAGGTACCGGTCATATGCCATGGCAGTGAGAAGATAGCATTCAGAACCCCCAAGGGCATGGAAGAAGTAGGTTTGAAGGAGGCAACCTGCAAAAGAAATGGTCTTTTTCTCACTGAGAAGATTAGCTAGCATCTTGGGAATGGTGGTGGCCGTATACCACAGCTCCAGGAAGGAGAGAATACTGATAAAGTGGTACATAGGTTTGTGCAGGGCTGTATTCAGTCGTATGACTAAGAAGATAAGCAGGTTGCCACAGACTGTGAACATGTATGCCAGCAGCAGCAGGAGAAATAGCCAGCCCTTGATCCGCCCCACATTGGGGAAACCAAGAAGCACAAATTCAGACAGTCTGGAGGAGTTGTGGTTCTCCATGGCAGGCTGGGTGGGGAGGAAGGAGAGAAAGTGAGTTTGCGGTGACAGCACCGTCCAACTCAGAACTTCATTTCCTTTTACTGTTCTTTAATCAAAAGGCAACATTGTCATTACTACTGCTCTATTATGCACACTACTCTAAAATTAATAATAGCTAATTTATTAGCACTCACTCATCATCACACATTTGGTGAGTATTTGCATTCCATATTTTAGTTTTAATTTGTACAAATCCAATGAGTGTTGTTATACCAGCTTTCCAGATGAGAAAACTAAGGAATGGAGAAATTATGAGATTTTTCTATTTCATGCAGTTCTCATGTTACAGCCTCAGACTTCAAGTGGATGTGCTGTATCTCCATCCAGGCTATGTTGCTAGATGCAATCATCCCTAATATGCTGTCCCCCTCCCTAATCACGCTGTCCCCTCTTCAAATATTCTGTCCCTTTCCCTAATATTCTGGCCCCTTCCTAAACATTTTTCCCTTCCTCAAATTTCCAGGCCTCCTCTATAAGCATCCTATTTCTTCCCCAAACACAGTATTCCCTGCTGAAAAATGCTTTCCCACCCCCCAAGCCATAGTTTTATCATCAATGGAGTTTTAAGGGGTAATCTAGTGATGAGGATAACACAGGGGCAAGTCTCTTCTTGATGCTCAGTTCTCCTGTGTAAACCGTATGGGACGCAGCTGTTCAGGTTCAAAGGAAGTAGACTCCACAAGGGAAGACTCTAGACTCCGCAAGGGAAGACTCTGGACTCCGCAAGGGAAGACTCTGGACTCCGCAAGGGAAGACTCTGGACTCCGGGGCTAAGCCCCTGTCAAGTCCATCAGGAACACTCAGGAGAACTTTGTTCTGACCCTGAGTGATTGAGAAAGTTTTCTCACAGGAGGAATCTCTTGAGCTGAATTTTCCTGAAGGAGTAACAATGGAATAAAAGAGGACAAAATTTTCAGACAGGAGGGGAATCCAATACTTACGCTATTATGCTAGTTATGCTGTGATCACAGGCATGCCCCATAGTGCAGGGAGCCAGGGAGGGAAAGGAGACAAATGGTCACCAGATAGAGGCTTGAAATATATCACTCATTTTTAATACTTTCACCTCCATTTCAGAGATGAAGAGGTGAGCTGGCCTTGTAGTGTTGCTGAAGGAAAAGTGCCCGGAGAGACTGACCATGTGGTGAGAGGTTGAAGATCAGAAAACAAACAGAGTGGCCAGAAGCATAAATTCTTCATTTTCAGATCCTACTTATAAAAATGCAGGCCAGGAATACATACAAACTAGCACTGGATACTCAAATTATTCTCGAGCACATTGTAAAGAGATGCAAAAAGAAAATAAACTGCAATGAAAAAATGGTAAGAAACACAAACCACGGGATTTTAAGAGCTTGAACATGATAACAAGATTCATCCCACCTGCATCACACTCTGCATCAACAGGGCTGTCCAGATTCTAGGCAAGTGACAAGTGACCCTCCCTTGTTCATTTTTGTGACCTTAACACCAGGCATAGTGACATCACATGACAGGCATTCAATAAATTTCTTTAATCAAACAAATTAATTCAACAACTCATTTGATAATTAGTATAGATCCCCAAAATCTTTCCTCCAAATTACACCACTCATCAACAACTCATTTGATAATTAGTACAGCTCCCCAAAACCTTCCCTCCAACTCACACCACTCACCCAAACTCAAACACTGCCCCCAGCGCATGTGTCTTGCTTTGAGAGCGAATCCCTGGCCATGGTATTTTAAAAGGCTAAATTGATTACAAGCCGTTGGAGTTTAAGGTTCTTTTTTGGATCTCCTTTGCTGAAATGGGGCCACACACTCACCTCTACAATCACAAGACACAGTTGTGTGGAAACAAATCTCTGCTGGGTCACAACTCTGCCACCTGCCTCTCCTCACTGTGCATCAGCTTTGCCACTTGTCTCCCTTTCTCCTTTGGCCAACTGGTTTTCGTCCTTCAAAATTTGGTCAGACATTAACCCATTAGGGAAGTCTTCCCTGACACCCCAGGAAATATTACCTGCTCCTTGCTCCATGTCCTGATGACATTTGCAGCTCCGCCTAGCAGCTGTGCTGCCTTCGTAATGAGACTGCGTTTCCTGTACATTGATGGGCCCTCTGAGGGACATGCAATACTCCTTAATCATTGTCCAGCTCCCTACCAACCCTGAAGTAAGAAGCATACTGTGAACACAATGAATGTGCTTTGAGGATATTAAATTTCTGTGGTCTTAGTCAAAGTTATATTTTCCAAGTGCACCTGAACACATCCTGTCCTCTCAGTATCTCAAGCTCCACATAGCCTCTTCACTAGATTTGTCTCCCATCACCCAACCCTGTTGAAGAATCCATAATACTTTTACTAACCCAGAAAAATGATTTTCAGGACATATTTTTGACTGTGGTTGCCCATATTGGGTATTTTGTCTTTCTGCAAATTTACTTTTCTGGAGCAGCTCTATTTGGAGGTCAATAAGGTCTTAGAACAAAGAGGAGTTTCAGGAGTATCTGAAGACCTCTGCATCCTAAATTTGCACCTGGCAAGTGTCTTCAGCCTCCCAGTGAGAGCCTGGATGACTCTCTCTGGCCACCCAGAGACGCACAAGGCCTCTTGCTTTGTCGTGGCCTCTTCAGCCTGAGTGATTTCCCCAGAAACCTCCCCCTCTGCCTAGGCAGGGTAGGAGGCAACTTGCCATGTGTCAGCATTTTTAAAGCAGACACTAACCCTGGTGTACCTGGCGCAGAACAGATCTAAGTGTCGACTAGGGAGGACTCTAGACATGAAAGTTTTTAAAGTCCCCTCTAAATCTGCTGCTTTATAATACTGAAAACTGAATGCTCCAATCCTAGCTATTTAAGTCATCTATCCACTAAACCAGTTTAGATCTCAAAATATTGTCTCATATCTCTTATTATGGGCCCACCTCTCTAATCCTGTGCTACAGTGACATGCCCTGTCACCTACCAGTCATGGAACATGATGGACTCTTTCCTGTCTCAGATATATGTTTACACCAAGGCAGGGTCCAGGCACCTTTTCTCTCCCTCAGCAAGTCCAATCCTCATAGGAAGAGTCCCCAGAGTCATCTAGAGAGCTTCAGACCAATAGGGTTGAAGGTTGGGGGGACACCCCTAGCTCCAGAGGTGGATATGTGCAGGATGGGCTCCCAGGAGTCCCAGGCAGACTGAAGAGAGGCCAGTCTGCCTTCTGCAGAGACCTAAGAGGGAACTTCCCCAGTGTATGCTACCTCCCAACTCTGTAACCTCTACACAAATACTCTTGGTCTCTGGCTCTGAGTGATGACCATGCTTCCTCGTCACATTTCCCATAAACACATGCACACTGACAGTTCTGTGTCTCAGCCCCAAGCCCAGGAAAGCTTCACGTTCCACATCTCTTCAACCAATTATTTCCCCAGTATTGTGCCTGATCCAGTCCCAAACTTCACCGGAGAAGCCTTTCCAGTAGGAGCTACCTATTCCAGGGCTGAGGTGTAGGGGGCTCCTGTGAGAAGAATTGGGGGAGAATGTAATGAAGAAGTGCTTGTTCTGGGTTGGCTCCTGTCTGCTATTAGAACTTGAGTATCTTGATGAATCTTATCTAGAAGGAAGACTAAGCCTGTGTTTGATAAAGAGATATGCTAGGAGATATGCTTTTACATGTGATTTCTAGATTGGTCTCACTTTCAGGTTTGCTTATAGATGAATATTAAGAGTCTCTTCCCCCCCTTCACACCGTCCCCCTTACATGCATGTGGTCAGAGTGATGGGTTCTGATGTAGGTTTTCTGTGGGAACACCATGGCTCTCTGAATGTCTCTTTTAGATCCCAAATCTATCATCTGCCCTCATGTGTTTTCAGCTTTATGTTAGCTACAAATTTAATAGGTTTCTTTCTATGTTATTAATTGAGATTTTAAGTGTTTCTGTTGATTGATTACAGACCAATCTTGGAGACACTGGGCTCCTCCTCTCTTATGAAATGACTATTCTGCAGGATGTTATTCATCTAAGTACAAGAGTTCCTATATTATGTTACCCAATCTATTTTCCCTCTTCTCTCTCAGTGTGTCTAGGACATCTTTTTAGGGCATGTAATTAAAGCAAAACAGTAGATAAAAAGTCCTGGTTGTAACTGTGCAGAGCTAAGAAAAATCTTTGAGAATTAGAATCATTGGTATAGAGATACCAGGTTATAGAGTAAAATTAAAGTGATGCATGACCCCCCTTATTAACTTGTCTGGATAATATTATTTGTCTTAACTTATAATGTAATCATTTTGAAGCTTATCAGTCTAAACTTTATAAAATACCATGCAAATTCAGTAGGGTAGGATTGGGCAAACTTTTTTTTTGAGGGAGATAGTATTAGTGTGGTCTTTGTCACAGCTGCTCAGATCTGACGCTGTAGCAGAGAAACAGTGATGGGCATGTGAATAAATAGATGTGTGTGTTCCAACAAACTTTTCCAATAATATGCTACATATCTGATTTGGTCCAGGGGCCAAATTCAGGGTTTGGGCTCCAGGGTTGTCTGTTATTTATAGTAACCACTTCATGCAAACATGGATACACATACATTTTTAATAACATTTCTCTGACCCTAGTGATTTGACACAGCTCTGATTTGCCATGATCTCTACATAGATAGCTCTCTCCACCCCAAAAAGTACTTACTCAGACAAAAAAGACTCAAGTGCATCTAGAGCAAATAGATATTTTTCTACAAGTTTTCTCTTATTTGGGCTTCAATGTGTTCTACACTAAAAACTTTTTTTTTAAATTGAGTTATGTTCACTGAAGTAAGTTGGTTTATATCATAGCATCTTTGGAAGTTATAGGTTCAATTCCCCACAAAGGTGTATCTTCACACCATGCTCACTACCGGTGCCCCAGTCATCCAACACCACCTTCCATCGGACTCCCTCCCTTTCCCACTGCCACCCTGTCACCCTTCAAATCTGGCATTAAGAGTTCGTTATTGGTTTGGTTTTGACCAACCTGTTATCTTTCTCTATTTTCTAGCTATAAGTAAGACCCTTCCTTCAGCATTTGCCTTCTCCATCTGACTTACTTTGCTTAACATTACAAATACATACTCTGTCACTTACAGCTGGTATGATTTAATCATGCAGAAAAAACTCCAGCAAACACTGGTGAGGGGAGAGATCACCGCATAAAGGCCAATTAAGGTCCCTGTGGGGAAGAAAAATGAAAATACCAGAGTGGCCTGCTATGAAAAAGGAAAGGAACGATCATTGAAAAGAAACTGCACAGCCACATCTTCAGACTTAAAGCTGATTTTGAAACTCTTGTAAATTGCTTGGCTGTTGTTATAGAAGCAGAAGAATGCGGCTTCATAAGTCCCTGGAAACAAGGCCAGGCAGCCTGTGGTGCTGCTAGTCAGTGGCGGCAGCAATGTTCTTGGATAAGGAGGAGGTGCTGCTCAGCTGCTTGGCCACAGGCATTTCACTGCTATGAATTCCGAGAAGGAGGTGAGGACTAAAGAGCTGTTAATCTTCCTGGTGCACACAGAGAATAAACATTCATGCTTGTCATGAGTTGTAAAACATGTTTAGTAGATTCTAGGATGCCACAAAGCATGCCCAGTATGAAGATCAAGAACAGCTTGCATTTGGGATTACTCATTTCAGATGTATCTGAATTTGGTGTTTCTTTACCCATCCTTCAAAATCAAAACTTAGTCTTGATCTCCAAAGAAAATAATTATAAAATTTCAGGACAGCTTTTATTTCTAAACTGAAAACCATATTGACTTTCTCTTCCTTCTATTTAAGTTTGTAGAAACCTAAAATAATAATAATAATAATCAAAGTTTTTTTGGAATTTTTAATCTGAACATGATGCGGAACTTTGCATCAGCTGTGTCAGACACTGCCTAATCTCCTGCACAGGGTTCCAGACTCTGAGTAGTTTTCAGTTTGTCATATGCAGAAATCTCCATGATTTTCATATGACTCATGACTTTCACATGATTCATGTTAGTTCTGGTTCTAAAAGGCAATTAGAGAAAAACTTCCCATTCAAAATAATTCTTTATCATATAAATTAAAGTTTGGATTATAATGTCTTCTAATACATTCAACTTCATCACTCTCTAAAAAGTTAATTTCTAAATCTGCGTCGCTTGTATTTAATTGGGGTTCCCCATCACCACTCTCTGACTTTTCTCCTGCTCTTTCTTCTTGAATGCCCTGAATATTCTTGGGACAGACAGCCAAATTCCAGCAATACTACTTTTGGAATTTTTATGAGCTCTTGTTTTATAAATAGTTTAATTTAGGGAAAAGAGCTACCTTTCTAATATTGATTTCCACATTCATAGCTGCATTCTGTCTCAGCATTTATAGTCTTATATAACTTTAAATAGATGTGCTTAATAACCCAAATTCTTGAATACCTTTTAATTCTTGAACACCTTTATATATAATTTACTGATGTTAAACTTAGTCTCTCTGTTTCATAATTGTTTCTTTCATGTAATAATAAAATTAGATTTTTGCTTTCCCTGAATTGTATCCAACAAGCTGATAAGCCCTCCACATTAATTTCACAAATTTATCTGGTTATCTATGCTATAAAGTAAATGTCATCTACCAATAATCATAGTTTTTTTTAATCCACTTTTTCTGGGTAGTGTTTAAAGTCACAATCTGGGATGGTGTTCCTGGGGAAGGAAAGAGAGGGAGGAGTAGAAATGGCTCCATGGGTAAGGACATTGCCCAAGGATGTGAGAGGCGGCAAGTGATATTAAAGCTATTTTTTCCCCAACCCCCACCACACCTTTGATCCTCATATTGCTTCCCCCTCCCCACTTCCTTATACCTCCAGAGACCTCAGGGTGTTTATTGATGTCCATGAGTTTTTTTTTTTAAGATTTATTTATTTATATATGCAAGAATTGGGGTGTAGGTCAGAAGTGCAGAGAGGTGAGAGGATTCACCATAGACAGAGTAGGGAGCAGAAAAGGCAGATCTACTAAAATATACTGTTGAGGGGGAGCAGTGGGCGACACAGAAGAGGTCTGCTGCACCATGTGGTTTAGCTCCCTGGCCAGGGATCAAACTCATGCTGCCATGGCTGCTGATAGTTTCATCATGCTGAGATTTAATCCTTTGTGCCACCAGTTTTATGTGTTTCACATTATGAACTGCCTGCTATGTAAATGTACAATATTTGTTGTTTTTTTTTGTCATGCTCACCTACTTTGCTGTGCATAATTCTTTCAAATTCTCTTCCTCTTGTTAAAAATGCTGTCTTTCATCCTTTTTAGAGACCATATAATACTCCATGGTATGACTATACCATACCTTCTAGATGCAAGCATGTATTGCTAGCCCTAATTTAGGCTGCTTCTATGTCCTGATTATTATAAATAATGCTGTTATTAAAAAGGTGGAGTATATGACTTTTTGTGTTGTTGGTTTCATTTTCTTTGGGTATAAGCCAAAGAATAGAGTTAATAGATAGAGTTAGTAGATCATACAATATTTCCATTTTTGTTTTTGTTTTTTGTTTTTTTTTAAGATTTATTTGTACATACAGAACTGGGGTACAGGCCAGAGATGCGGAGGATGAGAGGCTTCACCTGAGACAGAGTGAGGAGCAGAACAGGCAGATTGATGAAGTACACTGCTGAGGGGAGCAGCGGGCGGGTCAGGAGAGGTCTGCCACGCCATGTGGTCACCTCCGGGGCAGGCGGGAATCGAACTCATGCGGAAGTGGCTTTAGCTTCTCAGTGCTGTACTTTAACCCGCTGCGCCACCAGGGAGGGCCCATTTTTGGTTTTTAAGGTAAATCCATATTGCTTTCCACAGTGGTTGCACTTGGTCCACCCACATCACTATTATTCAGCATAATACTAGAAGGTCTAGCTAGATCTATTAAGCAAGAGAAAGATATAAAAGGAATCCAAATTATATAGAATAAGTAACTATCACAATTCATAGATGACATGATTATATATCATAGAAAATCAAAAAGCTTCAATATAAAGTTACTAGAAATAAAAAATCAGTACAGTAAAGTGGCAGACTATAAAATCAATATACAAAAGCATTACTATATGCAAATAACAAACTAGAAGAGAAAAAAAAAACTGTCCTATTACAGTAACAAAAAGAATTAAGTACCTAGTAGTAAAAATTGGAAGGAAATTTAAACAGACACTTCTCCAAAGAAGACATACAGATGGTCAACAGGCACTTGGGAAAAAGCATGCTTAATATCACTGTTATCAGGAAAATCAAATTAAAATCACAACGAAATATGGCCTCACTGCTGTGAGAATGACCCATACAATAGACCTCCAAAAATAGCAAAAGTTGACAAGGTTGTGTAGAAAAAGGAACTCTTATAAACTGTGGGTAGGAATGTAGACTGATCCAAATAGAGGTTTTTTGAAATATCAGCAGACGATATACCATATGATTCAGCAATTCCATTTCTTGGTACTTATTAAAAATGTAATAAATGCAGCTGGTGGCGCAGTGGGTTGGGGCGCTGCACTGAGGAGCTTGGGCCACTTCCGCATGAGTTCGATCCCCACCTGCCCCC